TCTCTTTAATACTCAATGCCCCCCTCCCTTGTCATCCTTCCTGCCGGGTTCTTGACACAGTGGAACAACGCCCATTACCAGTGTGTTTCCTGGGCCAGTGTTCCTGCCCACGGGGCTTCACCTATGACTACAACCACCATGACTGTCAGCCCAGCAGGAAGCCTGGCTTCATCTACAGAACTAAGGGAGCAGCAACAATAGATAAAACTGGTAATGTCCATAAAGGAACAATAAGGATAGTTATTCCAAGATAATATTCTAAAAATTGAAAATAAAAATTAATATGCTGTATAAGATTACAGTTCATTGAAGGAATATCTAAACTTCTGAATATGCTACATATGTGTAGAAACCTGCCACACAACATGTGTTGAGTATTTCTTGGAAACATTGTAATATTTAGATATTATCACTGAAGCTTTTATTGCAGTAAAAAATTTAAATATTAATTTTTGACTGGCAATGGTGATAATTGATGGCAATAATAAGGTGTGATTAAAGTGTTCATTTAAGCCACTTGGCTGCTACATCCATGTCTTATTCAACTCATTTCACTACATATCGGAAAAAAGTGAAAAGTGAATTTTGTAACAATTCAGAGGGAATTACAGCTATTCTGATAATGAAGTATATAAATGATTACATGAAAACATAGTCAGACAGTATTATACAGTGGAACCTCGAATAACGAATTTAATCCGTTCCGGCGCCGTGCTCGTCATGTGAAACGGACATCATACAAAACAAATGTCCACATTGGCAATAATGGAAATCAAATTAATCCGTTCTACCACCGAAAAACATTAATATAATATTCGATGTTTTAAATATGGAGCAGCCTATCTTACATACACTGAACAAATTTTTTATGACATTTTTCTTTCTTCAAATTTGTTCAAAAAAAATTTTCATTTGTTTTATAGCAAAAAGTTCGTTCAGTGTTCGGCAGGTAGGCTGCTCATGTTTCTTGAGGAAAAAAAATAAAAAACAGAACAAATGTCAAAAAGGTTAGTTCGGTATTTGGCAGGTAGGCTGCTCCATGTTTCTTAAATAAAAATAATAAATAAATAAATAAAAAACAGTTGAAACAATTTGAAAAACAGACAAATGCCATAAAGGTTCGTTCAGTGTTTGTCGGGTAGGCTGCTCCATTATGGCAATCTTTCTTTGTTTCAAATGTGTTCCATTTGTTTTGTATTTTTCATTTATGTCTGAATAATGGAGCAGCCAACCCAATAAACACTGAACGAACCTTTATGACATTTGTCCGTTTTTCAAATTGTTTCAACTTTTTTTATTTTTTTTTTTATTTAAGAAACATGGAACAGCCTACCTGCCAAACACCGAATGAACCTTTTTGACATTTGTTCTGTTTTTTTAAATTTTCATTTATTTTTTTTATTTTGTTTTTTTTTATTTAAGAAACATGGAGCAGCCTACCTGCCGAACACCGAACGAACCTTTTTGACATTTGTTGTATTTCAAAAAATTCCTTCTTTTTTCTACAAAAATAGTCAATGCTTTGCAATATCACAGCAGTCACCCCTTTATATCCCAGCATCATTAGCATTTTTAAACAAAAAAACATTATTTATTTGCATCATCGGAGGCGTCCGAGAATGTGCGAGAAGCAGCACGACCTCACCATGTAATGTTGTCGTTATTCAAATGAGCGCTCTCCATACGAGACGAATTGTCGGCGATCTGGGCGCTCGTTACCCAAAATGCTCGCCAATTGAGGCGATAGTCACTCGAGGTTCTACTGTATTTATAAATATGAAATGGTTACTGAATGAATGGAAGTTAAGTGAATTATCAAAGGTAGGAAATCTGTAATTGACTTATGGTAGTTACCTAAGTGTAGTTATAGGATGAGAGCTACGTTCGTGGTGTCCTGTCTTCCCAGCACTCTGTCATATAGCACTTTGAAACTACTGACGGTTTTGGCCGCCTCCACCTTTTCACTTGTTCCAACTGTCTACCATTCAGCTTGCAAAGGGCAACTTTTTAATATTTTTTCAGCAGCTTTGTTTTCTTAGTTTGAATCAATTTCCTCTTGTTCTTGAAGTAGCATTTTTAAAAATTCTTGTCAGTTTTGTCGATTCTTGTTACTATTTTTGCGAGTAGTGATCATATCACCTCTTTTTTTTTCCCTATCTTCTAGCTTTGGTATATTTAATGTCACTAACTCTCTTTCTAGCTCGTTTTCAGTTCTGGATGCCATTTAGTTGCATGTCTTTGCACATTTTCTGGTTTAGTGATGTGTGCTGCTTGAGATAGGGGCATCATACAACCACTACATATTCCAACTTTGATCTCATAAAAGTTATTAATAATTTATTTAATATTTCACTATCCATATACAGTATTTAAAAGCAATTCTAAAGTTGGAAAGCATAGCATACGCTTCACACACAATGTTCTTTATGTAATCCTCGGGTAACAGCTTTTTATCCAGAACCACCCCTAGATCTCTTTCTTTATTAGAATTCTCTAAAGCTTTTTCTCATAATTTGTAGGTTGCGTGTGTGGCCTATTTTCACCTGTTCCACATTACATAACGTGGCATTTATTCACATTAAATTACATTTGCCAAGTGTTGCTCCATATACTTTATCCAGGTCATATTGAAGGGCATGACAATTGTCTAAATGTCTTTTCTCCTGGTAGGAGAAAATTCAGGAGAATTCTCCTGAATTCTCTAAATTCCTCCTGGTAGATTATTCATATTGACAAAAAACAAACTGGTACTAGAACTGAATCCTATGGTACTCCACTGGTAACACTTCTTCTTTACTCCTTTTTATGGTAATTTAGAATATTTATCATCCATGTCAAAAATCTCCCTTTCAATCCTCCAGCATGTTCCAATTAACATCTGCATTGCACAGATTTACAAAATTGCACAGTTGCCCACAAATTAAAAAAAATGGCGTCTGTTTACGAGAGCCATGAGGAAGCAGATGTGAACCCCATGCAAACTTGGGAGTTTTGAATGCTACGCTATACCTATGAGCACCCTGAGGCGCTCTGTGCATGCCCGATCTAGCGCATCAAGGTGTTCTGCACAGTGCAGTGGTTAAGGCGCCGGATTGGGGGTGCGCAGAGCGCCATATGGCGTTTTTAGGTACTATACAGGGAGTGATTCTAAACTCCCATGGGTACAAGGGGCTCACATCCTGTGCCTCAGGACTCCTGTAAACAGACACCATCATGAAAATAAATCATCAGCATCCATGCTGGCTCTGAGAGCCTTAGTACTGAGAGAGAGCAAACAAAGCTGCCTTCCTGTCTTCCCAGGTGTGGTGTTCTGTCTTAACACTGTTTGTCATATAATGCTTTGAAATTATTGGCAGTTTTGGCTTCCACCACCTTTTCACCTAACTTGTTCCAACTGCCTACCACTCTGTTTGCGAAAGTGAATTTTCTTATATTCCTTTGGCAGCATTGTTTAATTAGTTTAAATCTATGACCTTTTGTTCTTGAAGTTCCAGGTCTCAGGAATTCTTCCCTGTCAATTTTATCGATTCCCTTACTATTTTGTATGTAGTGATCATATCGCCTCTTTTTCATCTATCTTCTAGTTTTGACATATTTAATGCCTCTAACCTCTCTTCGTAGCTCTTGACCTTCAGTTCTGGGAGCCATTTAGTTGCATGTCTGGTGGCTGTTCATTGCTTCTTGAATGCCTTCTGGGGGTTCAAGTGGATGCACTGGTTGTTGCACCATGTTCGTGGTCCTTTGTTCTGGTGTGCGATTTTCTTTGGTTGTCCAGTGTTCTATTGTGAGATAACTCTGGAAGGAACCATAGGGGTCTGATTCATACACATATCTCAGAGTACTAGAATTAAATGTAATGAACTGCCTCTTTCTTATGGGGTCCCTCTGTAGCTTCTTACTCCCTCCCTTGCCTCTCTTCCCATGGTGTTTCACACTGTGCATTGAGCAGTGCATGAATGATCAAGTTGATAACTCAGTGCCCTGCATGATAGGGGCTTCCATTTTGTGATAATCATACGCTATGAGGCACTGATTCCGCCCATTTCACAATTGTTTACATAGTAAGGATCAACATTGCAAATGTGATTCATGCAGTTGTCTGTTTTGGTGTGCTCTACCTTTCGGGTGGTCTTTCTCTTGGTTACTGTGGTTATCTTAGACTTCCCAGAATTCCTTTCTCTCTATTAAATGGACCAGATTCTAGTACTTGTCTCCAGTAGGCACCCATGAATTGATAGAGGCTGGTGTGGTATTGAGGGTTTGACAAGTGTATCAGTTTGTATCAAGGGGAGATACCAAGGGACCCACCAGCAAGAAACATTTCATTACATTAAACACTGGTTATTTATAAAGCCACTGGTCACTTGCAGTGTGATTAGTGGATGTTGATAGACAGGTGATGAGACTGTGTTAAAGTGTTTAAAGGTTTGAAAGTGGAGAGAAAGGCCAAGAAAATGTGTGAGGAAGTGGAGATTGGGCATGAATAGTGTGTGTAAGATAGGGTAGAGAACAAGGCTAGGTGACACTCGATTGTGAGGAGGAAGTAAATGTTTTGTTTATATATAACAATTTATGAGATGCAATGTGTGCTCAGCCATGTAAATGCTGTTTTAGATGATTTACTGGAGAGTTCCATTGGAAGTTCACTCTGATTATTTGTAATGTGCTAGATATAGTAGATGGACAGGTATAATTTTTAAATAAATATAATTGTTGCTTTGCTATTTCCTCGTGGCTTGATTGAAGCCTCACCACCTCATGCAATTTAGAAATGGATGAATGATTATGAATTTTATATGCAGTAATTATAATCTTTTGTCAAAAGACTTAAGTAGGTGTTTAGTTTCATTTATACAACTCTTTAATATCCAAAAGGGAAATTAAATAACCAAGAATTATTAATCTCTTTGTCAGATTAATTACTAATTTGATTTTAAATCATGTCTGTAACATTGCTATAACATTGTCAAATACATACTTTTGCATTTTTCATGTACAAGTTCCCTGTAATAAGGTCAACAACTGCCATCCCAATGCACAGTGCATCTATGAGAGCTATTCTCAGACTTATTCATGCCAATGTAATGTTGGATATGATGGGGATGGCTACGACTGCACTGAGTTTGGTGAGTATTTCATAGAAAAAGCAAATTGTTGTTATATTATATTATATTTGTTATATTAAATACATATACAGTGGGGGTCTCGACTTATGAACTTTATTCGTTCCCAGAGATGGGTCGTAAGTCGAAACAAATTTTCCTATAAGAAATAATGTAAATTGAATTTATCTGTTCCACACCCCTAAAAATTTTAACTTAAAAATACATTTTATACTGAATATAAAAAAAATTTCTAACTACAATACAATATGTTTATCTTACCTTTATCGAGGACTCTTGTTGGCATATGGAAGACGGCGAGGAAGGGGTTGAGAAGGAGAGGTGTTACTATTTGGAAGGGGAAGTCCCCTTCCATTATAACATCAGGCAGTGATGACCTCTCTGATGTACTCTCTCTCCTACGTTTTGCCTGCATACCACTAGGACCTGGTTGTGGTTCAATGCTTGTTTTATCTCACTGAAAATCTTTCCATAGAGATTTGTTTTCCCTACATTTTAACATTTGTCTGTAGTAATGCATCACAGTGTTATTAAAAAGATCATGGCAGCGGCCTACTGCAGCTTGATTTGGGTGAGTTATTTCAGCAAAAGTTTGCAGTTCTTTCCATACTGCACACATTTTCTTAATTGTTGAGGAAAGGACATTGTACTGCCTCCTCCTCCCATGAAGAAATTTCCTCAGCTGCCTCTTGTTGCTGCTCCTTGTGAAGGGCTAGGAGTTCTTTGGTGGTCAGTTCTTCGCTGTGTTCCTCCACCAACTTCTCCACATCAGCACCATTAATCTCCGAGCCCAATTGCTGGCCCAGAGAAACAATTTCCTGAACTAAAGGCACTTCAGGTTCAGGCTCAAACCCCTCAAAGTCTCGTTCTAGAACACATTCAGGCCACAATCTACTCCAGCCAGAGATCATGGTTCTTAGTCATTCTTGCCAGGCTTTGTCCATCAGTTTTAAAGCACTACAAATGTTAAAATGATTTTTCCAGAACTCTTTGAGGGTGAGGTTTGTGGCATTCGTCACTTCAACACATCTCCGGAAAAGTGCCCTTTCATAAAGTTTCTTAAAATTGGAAATGATTTTCTGGTCCATAGGCTGAAGTAGAGGAGTGGTGTTGGGAGGAAGGAACTTTACTGTAACAAAACTAAATTCCTCCAACAATGAATCATCAGCCTGGAGGATGAGCAGAAACATTGTTGAGGAGAAACAGGGCCTTGAGTGGCAAATGTTTCTCCTGCAGATATTTTTTGTTGGAAGGTCAAACCCTTCATTCACCCACTCGGTAAATAATTGCCTTGTACTGCCTTCAGGTGTTTCTGGAGGGCCACTGGGTCACTCATCGGTTGCTCGAGTGGCTATGTGGGAGTCTGAACTTCATCATGCTAGTCTTCCCTTCGGGTTTGGATCTGGCTTCGGGGGTTGTTCTGGTTCCTTCTGGAAGTCCCTCCCGCCACTCTCGCAATCACTGCGTGCGATCCCCGGGGGCCTTGTGTCAGCTGCTTCATTGCCGGCTTCCTCTTTGGTTTTTTCAGGCTTTAGTGCCGTGGTGCCTATCCGAGCCCGATTGATGTGTTCACAAATGCATTGTCTCTCGGCTGGGGTTTTGTGACCAGTGCTCACCAGTCCAGCCAGGGGTGGTGGGATCTGTCCTTCTGTCGAGCTCCACAGTCCGGTGCAGTGTGGTTTTCACTTTGCAGGATTCATGTCACTCGTGGATCGACGATTTGTGTCGCTCACAGATTGACGGTTCAGCTCCATTCGAACTGCTCCCGAATTGGAGTTCAGTGGCTCGTTATGGTGAACATATATGAAGATAGGTATATACTGTATTAACAGTAAAAACACTGTTAGATTGATCGTAGAATATAATATACATGTCACATATAAGAGCCACTTAATTCTGAGCATAGCCATGTTCCACACATTGGACTATATAAATTCCACAAATTACAAACTTTTGAATCATATTATCATATTCGCGGCAACTGCCGCCCCACGGGGTGGCGGGGTCGAGTGACCCAGAGTGCTTTATCGCTCAGTGCCCATAATTTGCTCAACTTTTTAGCTCCATCTCAGCTAAAGTATGTCACATACAATATTTTAGTTTAGTTTCCCATGATAAGAAACTGCAATTTAACAATATAAGAAGAGAAAATAATTTATTGCAAAGAATATATTTTCTGGGGGGAGCCCCGTCGGCTCCCTGGAGCTTTCCCAGGCTGATATGCTAATGTCAGACTTTGGCATCAGTCATGTGTATGGAGTTCTTAGGCCTACCGGGGACCACGGCCAGAACCGGGCCCCCTCAGAGAGGCAAGGGGAGCAATGGCCTATAGAAACCCCTTTGTGGTTGGAAGCATTCTATGTCTGCCATCGATCGAAACAGGCACCCAGAAAGGTAAGCGCCTCAAAACAAACCCCTATTCTGGTTAAAATTGCTACCAAAAGCCAAACTAGTGGATAGAACTCCCCAACAGAAAAACAAGCAAACTAGTGTGACGTCACACGTCGCCGCGCCACTGTCTGCGCAGCTCCCCCCTCCCTGGTAGGGGGAAGAGGGAGCCCCAGACCCTCCAGGCTGGCTACCCACACCTCAGTTCTTGAGGCTTAGTCTATAGGCGAAGGTCGTGTGCTCTGGCTCCGGTATCGCTACAGCACTGTGCTTTGCTTGTGGTGTTTGTTTTTGTGGGTGCGAGAGCCAGGAGTTATCTTCAGTACTCGGGCTGCATGCGCCTAGGGCTTCCTTCCCTAGGTGCCCTGTAAGTACTGCCCTTGGAGCTTGGGGCCACCTTCCACAGGCTCCTCGGGGTCTGCCTCTGCTGGTCCATTTTACCTTTTTGTTTTTTCAGCCGCCTGTTGTTCTCTTGGGTGTTCTGTTCTCCCTTGTTACTGGCAGGTATGAGGCAGTTTTTGCACTGGTAGGGGCGCAGGGTGCTGCACAGCTTATATTCCCGACATAGCGGCCGGCTCTGTTCCTTGGGGTTTGCTGTCCTCTTGCGGGGTTTTGTTTTTCTTTTTGTTTTTGCCTGGTAGGGGGTTCTGCCCTCTTGTTCCACTAGTTTTTGACCTTCCATGGTTCTCCTCGGTGGCGCCCCCTGCTAGGTCCCCGTGAGTGTACACGTCCCTGGGGTACAGCTATAGAAGTTCGCTTGGTAGTTTTGGGCACCGGTTAACAGCGCCCTGCCTGGGACTACCTGAGCGCGAGTCCTCTTAAAGTAAACGCTCAGGACCCTGGGAATCCCCAAGGGGGCGCGTGGGTCCGATGGATGTGACCCCGGAGTCCCAGCTCGCTGTGTGCGAATTTGAAAGTTGATCGGTCCCCTTGTCTCAGGGTGACCCTCATTGTTTTTGCCTCTGCCACGCTGCCTGTTGGGTCGGTGATACTTTCGACCCTGAGTCCTGTGAGTGTTGCTACTTGCTTGTGACTCAATTTACCCAATCCTCTGATGATTCTATTTGGATACAGGCAGTGCGTGCATTGCAGTCTAGGTTTCATCTGTTGCAGGAACCCCCACCTCGACCAGTCTAGCCGAAAGGCATCGACCCCGATGGCCTTGCGATCGGGGAAGAGCGCAGCATACACGGGAAGACGCCACAACCACGCCGACGCGAAGAGGTCCACCTCGGGGCTCCCGAACGTCTGGCAAAGCCAATGGAAGGACTCGTCATCAACCGTCCACTCCGTGGAAAGGGGACGGTTGGTTGCTCACCCGGAGCAACCAACCAGAAAAGCAAAGTGGGGCAGCCCCAGGGCTGCCCCACTTTGCTTTTCAAGACCCGGACTTGGGGGTGGGGGTCGCTTCGATTCTGGTTCAGTCCGCACCTCCTCGTCCTTCCCCTTCTGTTCATTCTGGTTCCCCCCTCCCCCTGCTTCCAGCCACGAAGCGTCTGAGAGTTTCAGGGTTGGAGCAGGGGTTACTTGATATCGAGACTCGGGCAGCTTCGGGGGGTGCCCCTTCCGGGGATGCCGGCAGAGGCATTCGAGTCTTGTCTCCTGGCCGAAGCTTCTGGGTCTGATCAGTGGGCCCCCCTTCCTCCAGTTTCTACACCTGCTCCGTCCTTGTCTTGTGGAGTCGGGGCATGGGGAGAGGACTCGGCCTCGGGTCCTGTGGTGAAGGACCTCAAGGCTGGGGAGGGGCTGACTTGGGGGCCTTGGGCCCCGCTGGACCCGGCCTGGATTTTTCTTCCCTCTGAGCGGGGCTTATTGTTACAAGGAATGGGGTTTTCTTTTCCTCCCTCTGTGTACGAGTTGGATTTGGTGTCGACCCCTCCACGGGTTCGGTTCCGTGTTCCCCCGGGTACGTCGGTTGTCTTTCCGGGGGTTTTCGGCTTATCGCATCCAACCAGGTGTGGTGCGGGTGGCCTTTGCAGCTTACCTCCTGCGTGACCCGGATTATGCCTTGGAAATGGATCCGTTCGAGTTCAGGTTTGGGACTTCGTTCCCTTTCTGGCTCCGTTAAGATGTTCCGGAGTCTTTCTGGCTAGCGGACTACCCCGTGTTTGTTCTGGATTCCTGGCATTCCTTCTGTCGTTCCTGCACGCTGGAGTGGCGGGAAGCTTCCACAGTGCTTCAGGTTTTCCTGGGAGGCGATCTTGAGTATCTGAATGAGTGCTTGTTTGCCCCTGCCATTCCCCGCGATGTGGGCATTATTCAGCTCCATGTGCAGGTTCCCACCCTTTCTGCGGCGCTCATTGCGGAGGACTTGCGCGCCCGGGGCCTTTTGGCTTCGGCCTTGCGGTTCTTTTCCCCCCTGGAGCTGTCCTTTTATTGGCTCGTGGAGGATGTGAAGATGCTTGGGTCCGTCCTGGGGTCTGGCGCCTTGTCCTTGGCAGCGCGTTTGTCGGCTGCCTTGTTGAAGCTGTTCACTCCGATTTTGCGGGATGCGGTTTCCCTGTTTTATGCTTCCCGTCTCGCATGTTGGCAGACGGTGCTGGGTTCCTCCATGGAATCTGCTTGGGCTCTGGCTCTTAGGCGTTATTCGCCTTTTTGTCCTCTTCTGTTTGATGAGTCGACCGTGGCGCATTTATTCAGAGTGCGTCGTCGGCTTGTTGTCAGATGTCGGACTTGTTGGTTTTCCGGGGGTCCCGAGGTGGGTCTTCCCGGAAGGGTCATGCCAGGGCTTGGGGTTCCTCTCGTCGTGGTAGGCCACTGGTGTCAGGTTCAGGTTCGGCTCCTACTCCGGATCCTCCCTCGTCTGGTCGGCGCGGTGTTCGCTCTGTGCAGGGTTCTGGGTCTCGTAAGGGTCGCCGGCCCTTTCGCGGTTTGCCCCATTGATGGAGTGATGGGGGGGCGGCTTGTGCTGTTCGCCCACGCCTGGTCCCACGATTCGTGGGCCTTTCGGGTCGTGTCTGTTGGCCTGCGGTGGCGTTGGGTGGCCCATCCCCCCTTTGGGGGGTCGGGGCTGGCAGGGCAGGTTTCTTCCCCTGCGCTCTGTCGAGTCGTCTTGGAGTGGGTACGCTTCGGCGTCGTCGAAACGACGTTGTCCCTCAGATGGGTTTCCCGTCTGTTTCCGGTTCCGAAACGGGACTGCGCGGACCTGCGGTTCATTCTGGACTTGTCCTGTCTAAACCCCTGGGTTCATTGCCCCAACTTTCGGATGACTATGCTGTTGCAGGTTCAGCTCCTCTTGGAGCCGGGTGCTTGGATGGTGTCCCTGGACCTCCGGGACGCTTATTGGCATGTCCCGATTCATCCACGGTTCAGGGACTGGCTCGGTTTTGTAGTGGGGCGTCTGAGTTACCGTTTTCGTTGTCTCCCGTTCGGGTTGAACCTGGCACCTCACATGTTCACGCGCCTTACACGGGTTGTGGTGGCCTGTTTGCGTCTCCTAGGTGTTCGGGTGTTGGCCTACCTCAACGACTGGCTGGTTTGGGCTCCCAGCCAGTCAGCTTGCTTGCTAGCCAGGGATTTGGTTCTTTCCCAGCTCGCCGGGTTCATGTTCTTGGTGAACTGGAGGAAGTCCCATATGGTCCCCTCTCAGGTTTGGACTTGGCTGGGTCTCATTTGGGACTCTCGGACCGCCTCCTTGTCTCTCCCTCCGGAGTCTCTCCTACGGCTGCGGTCCCGCCTTCATCTGTTTCTGGTGGGCCCTCGGGTCACCCGGCGGTTGCTCGAGGGGCTGTGCGGGAGCCTGAACTTCGCGATGGTGGTCTACCTGCCGAGTCGGGTTTGGCTTCGTCGGCTGTTCTGGTTCCTTCGGGGTCCCCCCTTCTGCCTCTCTCGCGATCGCAGGGTTCGACCCCCGGGGGCCTTGCGTCGGTTGCTGTGTCACTGGCTTCCTCTTCGGGTTTTTTGGGTTTCAGTGCCTTGGCCCCTACCCGAGGCCTCGCTCGATGTGTACACGGATGCTTCGTCTCTCGGCTGGGGCTTTGTGACTAGTGCTCACCAGACCAGCCAGGGGCGTTGGGATCCGTCCTTCCGTCGAGCTCACAGCACGGTGCGGGAGTTCGCGGCAGTATGGTTTGCTCTTGGGAGGATTCGGGTGGCCCGCGGATCGACGATTCGGCTCCATTCAGACTGCTCTCTGGTGGTTCATTGCCTGAACCGCGGGGGTTCGATGTGGTCCTTGTCTCTTTGGGGTTAGGCGCTTTGGGTGACTCGTCTGCTGAGTTCTTGGGGTTTGGCTCTCCTGGCGGTTCACGTACAGGGAGTGTCCTACGTCTTGGCCGACACCCTGTCTCGCTTTGTTCCCCTCTCCACGAAGTGGACGGTCGACGACGAGTCCTTCCATTGGCTTTGTCAGACGTTCGGGAGCCCCAAGGTGGACCTCTTCGCGTTGGCGTGGTCGCGGCGTCTTCCCGTGTATGCGGCGCCCTTCCCCGATCGCAAGGCCGTCGGGGTCGATGCCTTTTGGCTAGACTGGTCGAGGTGGGGGTTCCTGTGCCTCTTTCCCCCAGTTCAGCTGTTGCTCCGGGTCCTGACTCACTTAGAGACTTACCAGGGGAGAGTTGTCCTTCTGGCCCCTTGGTGGCCGGCCCAGCCTTGGTTTCAGGCGCTGCTTGCTCAGTGTCCGAACCCGAGGGTTTTCCCGCGGGCCGGTACGTCACGTGGCTGGTTTGATCATCTCCTCGAGTCTTCGCGTATGGGTTTTTTGACTCAAGTTTATCATCATCTCTATGGTGATCAGTTGGCCGCCTTGTTGGTGTCCCACCTGAGGGCTTCTTCTCGGCTGCAGTATGAAGTTTCCTGGCGGTCCTTCTGTTTCTTTTTGCGTCTTCGTCGTGTTAGTTCCTTGTCTGTTCGGGTGGTCTTGTCCTTCCTCTCTTGGTTGTTTCAGGACCGTCATCTTATGCCTAACACTGTCGCCTCGTATCGTGCATCGCTGGCGGAGCTGTTTCAGCTTGCCTTCGGTATCAATGTTACATCTGCGCCGTTTCGCAAGCTGTCTCGTGCATTGTTTCACCTCCGGCCTGCTCATGCTCCGCCTGAGCCGTCCTGGTCTTTGGACCGAGTGCTCGCTTTCCTTTCGTCTCCTCGTTTCGTTGTGGCCCCTTTGGTCCGGGATTGTTTTTCCAAGGCTCTTTTCTTGTTGGCATTGGCCTCTGGGGGTCGGGTAGAGGAGCTTCATGCTCTCCTCCGGCACAGAGGTTTCTGCTCTTTGGTTGTGGAGATTGTTTTGTTCGCTTGCAGCCGTCTCCTTCTTTTCTGGCGAAGAATGAGACTGCTGCGTTCCGGAGGGATCCATGGGTGGTTGATGCTTGGTTGGTCAGGCCAGGGGTGCATCATGTTTTGTGTCCGGTTGCGGAGCTTCGCCGTTATTTGTGCACCACGGCTTCTGTGTCCGGGGACGCGCTTTGGGTTGATCCAGTTTCCCTTCTTCCCTGTTCGCGGGTTCGGGTCTCCCAGGTCGTCCACAGGGTTATTAAGTCCAGCCAGCCTGCGGTCTATCCCCGTGCCCATAACGTTCGTAAGTTCACGGCTCTTGCTGCCGTCTTTGGGAATATGTCTTGGTCTGATATTCGGGCGCGGGGATTTTGGCGGTCGAACAGGGTGCTGGCTGCTCGTTACCTTGTGAATGTCCTTGGGCCCCGTCGGGCCTGTGTTCCTTTGGGTCGGCGGTTGCAGCCAGTTGTCTCGGCTTCGAGTTGAGGAGTGAGTGACGACCGCCTCCCGGGTAAGTCCCTCTTTTTCCGTCTGTGGGTAGTTAGCTCCGGGGAGCCAACGGGGCTTCCCCCAGAAAACCAGCGTTGAATATAATGAAACGCCATTTTCTGGGTGAGTCCCGGAGGCTTCCTGGCATCCCTCCCTCCCTCCGGTCGGCGTTTTTTTCGCGTTTTTGACATCCAGCCTCAAGAACTGAGGTGTGGGTAGCCGGCGTGGAGGGTCTGGGGCTCCCCCTTCCCACTCCCGGGGAGGGGGGTGCTGTGCAGACAGCGGCGCGGTGACGTGTGATGTCACACTAGTTTGCTTGTTTTTCTGTTTGGGAGTTCTATCCACTAGTTTGGCTTTTGGTAGCAATTTTAACCAGAATAGGGGTTTATTTTGAGGCGCTTACCTTTCTGGGTGCCTGTTCCGGTCGATGGCAGACATAGAATGCTTCCAACCACACGGGGGTTTCTATAGGCCATTGCTCCCCTTGCCTCTCTGAGGGGGGCCCCGGTTCTGGCCTTGGTCCCCAGTAGGCCTAAGAACTCCATACACATGACTGATGCCAAAGTCTGACATTAGCATATCAGCCTGGGAAAGCTCCGGGGAGCCTCCGGGACTCACCCAGAAAATGGCGTTTCATTCCATTCAACGCTGGTTTTTTGGCGCACTACGGGAATTTCGTATTTTAAGGCCGCGCAGCACGGTGATTAATTGACTTCTTTACATCAACGGCATCTTGAGACCCAGTTAAGACACCCATTAATGGTTATTGAGAGCTTTCAAATAATTGTCTTTAAGAACAATTAAGTTCAGGTGAATAATATAGGAGGTAAATTTCTTTATAACAAGGATGATGTAAACAATATAATTACTGTATGGTGGTACCCAATAATATTCATTACTTTACTGTTTTGGTTTACACAGATGTATCTTGTGATACTGTAGACATCTGCCACATCCACGCCCAGTGTCTGTTTGATGATTACGCTCTCCAACATGTGTGTGTTTGCCTTGAAGGTTATCAAGGTGATGGCCTTGTCTGCACCCCTCAAGGTTAGAAACAAAAGTTATAAATATAAATGTTTGATATAAACATGTAGAAATAAATTGGGCAAAATATATTTTAATTACAATTCACTTTTTGAAGGATGCAGTAAATTTTATTATGTAGTTGAGAATACGAAACTAAATTGTTTTAAAGTGCTTTGCCATGTAAGATTAAAAGTTATTGCTTACTAAAAGATGAATTAGTTTTATATAAGAAAGATAATGACTTGCTTTAACTTATTTAAGACTTTTCATAATATAATTACTGTACTTTGTATTTTTTTCTCTCTATGTAATACCTAAAGGATGCCAGATAGGGAAAGGAGTTTCTCTAGTATTTTTGTGAAATGTTGTTTTCAGTTGGCAGATTTTACAAATAAGCTTAACATTTTGAATGTAGAATTTGTTATCAAAAATTTTCCTGGGGTAGCCCACTGGTGGCTCCCTGAGACTACGCCCAACCACTTGAGCTGGAGGGTAGAGTGATGGTCTTGCTTCATGCAGGTCGGCGTTCAATCCGTGACCATCCAAGTGGTTGGGCACCATTTCTCCCCTTCCATCCTATCCCATATCCTTATCCTGATCCCTTCTTCCAAGTGCAATATGGTCATAATGGTTTGGTGCTTTCTCCTGATAGTTAGTTTGTTTGTTTGTTTGTTTGTTTGTTTGTTTGTTTGTTTGTTTGTTTGTTTGTTTGTTTGTTTGTTTGTTTGTTTGTTTTGTTTCCTTCCTTCCTTCCTTCCTTCCTTCCTTCCTTCCTTCCTTCCTTCCTTCCTTCCTTCCTTCCTTCCTTCCTTCCTTCCTTCCTTCCTTCCTTCCTTCCTTCCTTCCTTCCTTCCTTCCTTCCTTCCTTCCTTCCTTCCTCCCTTCCCTTCCCTTCCCTTCCCTTCCCTTCCCTTCCCTTCCCTTCCCTCCTTCCCTTCCCTCCTTCCCTTCCCTCCTTCCCTTCCCTCCTTCCCTTCCCTCCTTCCCTTCCCTCCTTCCCTTCCCCCTCCCTCCTTCCCTTCCCTCCTTCCCTCCTTCCTTCCTTCCTTCCTTCCCTTCCTTCCTTCCTTCCTTCCTTCCTTCCTTCCCTCCTTCCTTCCTTCCTTCCTTCCTTCCCTTCCTTCCTTCCTTCCTTCCTTCCTTCCTTCCTTCCCTTCCTTCCTTCCTTCCTTTCCTTCCTTCCTTCCTTCCTTCCTTCCTTCCTTCCTTTCCTTCCTTCCTTTCCTTCCTTCCTTCCTTCCTTCCTTCCTTCCTTTCCTTCCTTCCTTCCTTCCTTCCTTCCTTCCTTCCTTCCTTTCCTTCCTTCCTTTCCTTCCTTTCTTTCCTTCCTTCCTTCCTTCCTTCCTTTCCTTTCCTTCCTTCCTTCCTTCCTTCCTTCCTTCCTTTCCTTCCTTCCTTCCTTCCTTCCTTCCTTCCTTCCTTCCTTCCTTCCTTCCTTCCTTCCTTCCTTCCTTCCTTCCTTCCCTGAAGCAATATCTTTATGATAGCTTCCCATTACTTAAGTCACATTAGTCATAGGCATCCTATCAGCCTACCAGAGATCAGAGTCAGAATCTGGTCCCCTCACAGAAGTAGAGAGAGCAGGGGAATTGTTATGATCACCTCACCAAGAATCCAACCAGAAAGTAGATGAGGCAATACAAACATTTTCCATAGTTCATGATTTAGTAATTACTTAAGTGTAGTTACAAAATAAGAGCTATGCTCGGGTGTTCCCAGCCAGGTTTTCCCAGCACTCTGTCATATAATGCTTTGAAACTACTGACAGAGAAACTACTGAAACTACTACTCCAGAGCGGCTATGTCCTTCTGAAAATGAGGTTTCCATGCTTGGATACAGTAATCCAAATGAGGGTGCACCATAGATTTATACAGTTGAATCATTACCTTCATTTCCTTAACCCTTAAACTGCGCATGGCGTACATATGCGCCATGAGTAACATGTCCCACCGTGCTCATGGCGTATATATACGCCTAAGGGTGCCAGGCCTGATTCAAATGGCCCGCAGCTACAAGGGGTTCACATTAGCTTCCTCAGGGCTCTTGTAAACAGATGCCATTTTTTTTTAAATTCGTGGGCAATATTCTCAGGTGTGAGAGGCACAGTACTGTTGGAGCAACCAAGGCTGGCACACGCAGCATGAGCGAACGGCATTGCTGTTAAGCTTGTGACCACAGCATCGCCGAAAAATGTCAAAATAAATATATAATTGCTATTATTTAGCAATGACAATATTACAGATGACCCCTGACTGTAAATATAAATAACCAGGGTTGTGATAATAGCAGGATTGTTGTAATAATTAGTGCTGTGAGACGAGTGATGCTGAGAGACAGAGGAAGAAAGCATCGTTTACTGACTGTGTGGCCACCTGTTATTGTCTGCATTCACCATATCAGCTTAGTGGTTCTTTACGGTGAACACAAATGTAGATACTTATATATAATGTGTGTATTAGTGTAATAACAGCAAAAGGATTATGCTGGGAGGAGCCATTTGGGTGACGGAGGTGACGTCGTCTGCATGATTTGTCTGGCTGTGCAGAGGGTGGCCACTATGCTCTTTGGGTACTCTACAAGCTTAGGTGTACAGTTACGGTGCATACAACATGTAGATACTTATATATAATATGTGTATATAGTGTAGTAACATTGCAAACAGTATTGTTGGGGGAGAAAGTTTAGTGCGTATGACCTTGAATGAGTGAAGGACCCGCCAGCTGATTGTGTGTATAGCGACGATTCTTAGTGCCTGAACCAACTATATCAGCTTAGCTGTACAGTTGTGATGAACAAAACATATACATACTTATATATAACGTCTGTATATAGTGTCATAACACCACAAACGGTATTGTTGAAGGAGAAAGTTTAGTGCATGTGGCATTGAGTGAGTGAGGCAGCCTCCAGCTGTGTGTATAGCGACAACTCTTAGTGCCTGAACTAACTATATCAGCTTAGCTGTACAGTTGTGATGAACAAAACATATACATACTTATATATAACGTCTGTATATAGTGTCATAACACCACAAACAGTATTGTTGGGGAAGAAAGTTTAGTGCGTGTGGCCTTGAGTGAGTGAGGCAGCCACTAGCCGACTGTGTGTATAGCAACGGCTCTTAGTGCCTAAACTAACTATATCTGCTTAGTTGTACACTTGTGGTGAACAAAACATGTAGTTTCTTATATATAACGTCTGTATATTGTGAATAAAATATAAAACAGGATGGTGGGAGGAAAATGTGGGCGAGTGAGGCGTTGTTGAGGGAGTAGCAATGAGTGGTTGCTGGTGTGTGGCAGTAACTCCTCGTTGCTTTTCGACTCTCAATACCAACTTAGTGGTTCGTTATGGTGAACAAAACATGCAGATACTTATATATAACCTGTGTATAGAGTGTAATAGCAGCAAAACTATTTGTTTATTGTTTTATAAACATAATAATTGAATCACTAATATGCACACTATACTTTTGAGTATAGCAATTATTCACCACTTTTATTATATACATATATTACAATACACACTATTGAATAATATTACTGCAAAAAAACAAAGAAAAAATCAGAGACACAGAAATAATTAAGTGATAATCTCTTTGTGGCAACTCCCATCTGTCAGTGCGGGTGACGCTGACCGGCTCTGACGACCGCTCTGTCAATGCCTACTTTTTGCCAGACTTCCTCGGTCAATTGCGCCCAAAATATGTCACCTATGATTTTTTTTTATTTTTCCCGTGCTCAGGGGACACAAATTAACATGTTTAGAAGACGAAAAAAATTGTTTGAATTTTTTTTTCTTGCGCACAGGGATGTAAATGTCCTCAGGACCCCTGAGCAGTGGAAGGGTTAAAGTCAAAAGTATGCTTGATTACTCAGAGGGTTTGGTTAGCTTCTCTGACTGTTGCTCCTACCTGTTGTGCAACATTTAGTTAGTAGCGGATTTTGACTCCAAGATCCTTCTCTTCGTCAGTCTGCTTTAATGTAATGCTAGTTGTAGTTGTGGATTATTATACCCCATATGCATGGTTTTGGATTTGTTGATATTAAAAAGGATTTGTCAGTCATCTGACCATTTGTGGAGTTCATGTCTCTTTGTAAGGCTTCAATATCATCGTTTCCCACTTTACCATAAATCTTTGTCCGCTATAAATTTGATGATGTAGTTTCTAATATTCTCATCTATGTCATTGATGTATATGACAAAAAGGGTTAGCCCCAAAATGGACCTCCTGTGGCACCCCACTTACCACATTTCTCCATTCAGATTTGTTCCCATTTAGCATGACCCTTTTTTTCTTTCAACCATGTTTTACCCATTCTGATATTTTACCATTTATTCCATTGGCCTGTAATTTCCTTGCCAGTCTCTTCATGTGGTACCTAATCAAAGGCTTTAGCAAAAGCCATGTATACCACATCCATCGGAAGCCCTTTGTCCGAGTAGCTGGTTACCATTTCCAAAAAATGTGAGCAGGTTTGTAAGGCAGGATATGTTTTTAACAAACCTATGTTGTGTCGATTGTACCAGATTGTTCACTGAAAGATGGTGAAAGATTCCCTTCCTGAAGATTCTCTCCATGAGCTTGCAAATGTGTGATGTCAAGCTGATTGGCTGGTAGTTTGCTGCTGAGCTCTTTCTGCCCTTTTTTAACCCTTGTATGGCGCCTGGCTATTTAGCATGTGTCACTCACAGGCGCGTACAAAAAAAAAAAAATCTTCTAAACCTGTTAATTTATGTTCACTGATAATGGAAAAATAATAAAAAAATTGTAAGTGGTATATATTGCCCGCTATAGGGCGGGGAAGTCTGGCAAAAAACAGGCGCTGACTCAGCGTGCATCCCAGACGGTCTGTTGCTTGCCAGCTGTCAGGCCAGAGTTGCCACAAAGAGATAATTACCTAATTATTTCAATGTCTCTGATTGATTTTTCGTAGTTTTTTTGCTGTAATATTATTGAATAGTGTGTAGTGTGATATATTCATATAATAAAATGAGTGAATTATCGCTGTACTCAAAAATATGGTGTACATATTGTTGATTCAATTATGTTCATCAAACAGTGAACAAATACTTTGTCGGTTATTACACTATATACACAGGTTATATATAAGTATCTGCTTGTTTTGTTCACCATAACAAACCACTAAGTTGCTATTATGAATTAAAAAGTAACGAGGAGTGACCCCCACACACCAGCCAGCCACTCGCTCCCTCAACACCTCACTCGCCCACATTCTCCTCCCACCATACTGTTTTTGCTTTTATTCACTATATACAGACATTATATATAAGTATCTACATTCGTGTTCACCATAACGAACCACTAAGTTGGCATGCTGAGTGGCAGTGCCAGTGGCAGTTCGCTACTGGCTGCTACTTCCTCCCTCCCTCAAGTCACCTGACTCACCCACATTCTCCTCCCACAATACTGTTTTTGCTTTTATTCACTATATGCAGATGCTATATATAAGTATCTAAATTCGTGTTCACCATTACAAACCACTAAGTTGGTATGCTGAGTGGCAGTGGCAGTGGCAGTCCGCCACTGGCTTCCACTCCCTCCCTCCCTCACCTCACCTGACTTGCCACCATTTTCCTCCCAAAATACTGTTTTTGCTTTTATATACAGATGTTATATATAAGTATATACATGTTTTGTTCACCATAACTGTACATCTAAGCTTGTATGGTGAGTAAAGGCACAAAGACGTAGCTACTCACACAGTCAGCTGGTGGCGGCCGCCTTCAAGGCCAAACGCACTAATATTTCTCCTCCAACAATACTGTTTGTGGTGTTATTACGCTATATACACACATAATATATAAGTATCTACCGGTTTTATTCACCATACTTGTACAAGTAAACTGGTTTGGTGCCCAAAGACCATAGTGGTGACCAGTAAACAACATGATAAGTCGTGCAGACGACGTGGGTCCGTCTAATTACCACAAGCTACACAAGCTTCACAAAGCTTCAGAAAGCTTCCTGGCAATACGTTAGTAATGAATAAATATGATATGTTAGGTTAGGCTGACCTAACCTAAACTAACCTAACCTAACCTAACCTAACTTAACCAAACCAAACCTAACCAAACCTAACCTAGCCTAACCTAACCGACGCTTGGATCGTCGACTTTATTTGGCGTCACCAGCTCTTTATTTTCGTCTAATTTCTTAATAAAAATATACTTTTTCAGATTAAAATTATGTTTTCTCGTGTTTTACATTCAGCACATACATTATAATGAGTAAATATATCATATTTATTCATTACTAACATAAGCTTTCTGAAGCTTTGTGAAGCTTGTGTAGCTTGTGGTAATTAGACGGACCGGACGACGCCACCTCCCTCACCAAAATGGCGGCTCCCATCCTACTCCTATTGCTGTTTATACCCTTTATACACACATTATATATAAGTATCTACATTTGTGTTCACCATAGTGAACCACTAAGCCTCATATGGTAAGTGCAGTCAATAAAAGGTGGCCACACACAGTCAGAAGATAACGCCACCACCCCTCCCTCCCACAGCATTACTCCTCTCTCCATGGAGCACAGTGCTAAATATCACCACAATCCTGCTATTATCAGAACCCTGGTAAGTTTTATCACAGTCAGGGGTCTTCTGTAATAATATCATTGCTACATAATAGCATGAACAAGTATATTATGGCATTTTTAGGCGATGCTGTGGTCACAAGCTGAACAGCAGTTCTGTGAGCTCATGCTGCGTGTGTCAGGCTTGGTAGCTCACTTGATACCGAGACCCCTAACACCCGGGAATTTGACCCACAATTTTTTTTTTAAATGGTGTCTGTTTACAAGAGCCCTAATGAAGGTGTGGTGAACCCCGTGTATCCGCAGGCCATTTAAATCTTGTGTAGTACTCCAAAGCATCATATGATGCGATGCGCAATTTACTGCAAGTCGGTCAAAGCATCATATAATGCAATGCGCAACTTAAGGATTAAAATAAGGGTGATATTTGCATGTTTCCAATCTTGCAGGACTACCCCTTGTCCAGAGATTTTGTGAAAGTTAGTTTCAGTGGTAGGTATAGTTTTTCTGCCAGTTCCTTCAAGACTTTGTATAGGATTCCATCCATATCTGGGGCTTTTGAGTCTTTTAGTTTGTCAATGTTCTTCCTAAATATTTTGCATGTAATGGGTATATCCCTAAATTCATTCTTTTCCCCCTCCTTCAAACATTTGTGTGGGTGATGGGATTCATAATAGCCCATAGTTATTGCAACACCAATGAACTGTAGTGTTTCAGCAGACATTACCTATAATTGTTGCAATACCAATAACTCAGTTATTGCAAAACTCAACCCATAGTTGTTACAACACAGGTAATCTATAGTTGGTACTAATTATCATCAAATGTTTTCATGTTATTTGTTACAGTATTTAAACTTTCTCTGGTGACAGATGAGTGTAGCAGTGTTACAGACTGTGACACCAATGCTCAATGTCTGTACGAGAGCAAAAGTCAGCGTTACAAGTGCGAGTGTAATGATGGCTATGAAGGGGATGGCCGCACCTGTACACCCAAGGGAGGTCAGTAGGCATGTATTATACCAGCACCATAAAAATATACATCTATAAAATGTCACTTCAATGCTTTAGGATCCTGCTGCTCCCTTATTCATAGATCTGTAAATTGGATTCATGCTTTGCCTATATTTACTTTATTAGAAGCAAGCTGTAATATCGTCAACAACTGTGATGCCAATGCTGACTGCATTTATGATACATATGCTCTGGTGTACCGTTGCCAGTGCCGAGATGGTTATGAAGGAGATGGCAGCTTCTGTACACCAACTCAGGTATGTTTTCTTTATTGACTCTCCTTAATTTATTAGTTTTGCATTGTATTTATTTTCTAAGAGCTTATTTTCTAAGAATAAGGAAACTGCAGAAGGCCTATTTGCCCATACAAGACAGCTTGTGTCCATGTAAATGCATTCCTATATAACATATGTTTAACCTACACTTGAAACAATCCATGATTCCATGTCTATTATGTAATCCAGTAAATTATTCCATGAATCAACTACCCTGTTTCTAAACAAGTATTTATTCAGGTCTTTCCTAAATCTAAATTTATTCAATTTATATCAATTGTTTAGAGTTCCATTTGTATTGATACACAGTGGAACCTCAGTTTTTGAATGCCACCGTTTTCGAATTTTTTGGTTCTTGAGCTCAATTTCTTCTAAAAATTTGACTCGGTACTCAAAGTTTGCCTCGATGCTTGAGTTTGCTGATATATGTATGGGGTCAATGAGCACATGATTCTGTTCTGCTGAGTGAGGGGTGGGGCGAGGGACGAGGCATGCCAGTTTACCAGTTTATCCTGCCTAGTGATGATTATTGAATATTGTATTTGGGAGGACAGCAGGATTGATGGTAGGGGGACTGGATGGATGGTGAGGGGACTGAATGGAAGGATGACGAGGGGGACTGGATGGATGGATGGGGTGGGGACTGGATGGATGGATTGTGGGGGAACTGGATGGTTGGATGGTGGGGGGAACTGGATGGATGAATGATGGGGGGAACTAGATGGATGGTGGGGGAACTGGATGGATGGATGGATGGTGGGGGGAACTGGATGGATGGATGGATGGTGGGAGGAACTGGATGGATGGATGGTGGGGGGGAACTGGATGGATGGATGGTGGGGGGGAGGGACTGGATTGATGGTGGAGGGGAACTGGATGGATGGATGGACTGGATGGTGGGGAGACCGGATGGATGGGAGGTGAGTGGGACAGGGAGGCTGGTGGTGGGGGGAGGGATAGGAAAGAAAATCTTTCAGTCAGAACCATCCCTAGAATTATGTAAATGAGGAACATGTGGAGGGCGAGTGGGTTGGCAGGTGAGAGTGAGTGGATGGATGAGTAGCAGGGCAGGTGGCAAAGTGTGTGGATAGGTGGGCAGCAGTGGTCGGGCAGGTGTCAGTGTGTGCAGGTTGGGCAGTAGTGAGATGGTTGGCAGAGTGGGCATAGTGGGTGGGTGTGCAGGCAGCAGAACGAGTGGGTGACAGATGGTAGACTAAATAAGTGGGTTGCAGATGGTAGACTAAGGTGGGTGGCAGATGGTAGATTAAGGAGGTGGGTAGCAGGGCGGGCACAGAGCGGGTGGGTATCAGGGCAGTCAGGAGACAGTGGGTGGGCAGATGAGCAGCAGGATGGGTGGCAGAGTGAGTGGGTGGGTAGCAGTGGGCAGTTGATAGCAGATGTGGTGCATATCACACTTGGCTCGCACACCACCACAAGACAAGACCACACCACAAGGCACAGCACTGAAACAACGCTGGAGCCAGAGTCGCATGACCGCCAGGTCACAGATCAGCCATAGAACTAAAGGTGTGGATAACCGGCGCAGGGGGCTCTTCCCCCTCCCGGGGAGAGGGGAGCTGCACAGACAGCGGCGCGATGATGGCTGTGACGTCATGCTCATTTGCTTGTTTTTCGCTTGGGAGGGTTCTGTCCAACAGTTCAGCTTTCAGTAGCAATATTTTCACCAGATAGGGTTTGTTTTGGGGTGCCTACCTTTCTTGGTGTCTGACCAGATCGATGGCAGATGTAGAATGCTTCCAACAACACGGGGGTTTCTACAGGCCTTTGCTCCTGTGCCTCTCTGAGGGGGCCAGGTTTTGGCTCGTGGTCCCTGGTAGGCATAGAACTCCATTCATTTTGACTGATGCCAGGGTCTAATACATTCATATCAGCCCGGATAGCTCTGGGGAGCCTCTGTGTCTCGCCCAGAAAATGGCGTTTCATTACATTCAACGCTGGTTATCTAGGCACTGTCTCCAAAGAATGTGAAGGGCCTGCAATAGTGGTAGTGGATAGTGGATAATTCTCCTAGAGAATTAATTTTATTTTATTTTATTCATGTGATTTCTGTTATGAAGATATCAATTATAGTTCGAATTCATTCCGGTTTTTGCCTTAAAGAAATTAATGTATCCATTAAATACATATGTACTCAGTAAATATTAATGTTATAAATAAAGCCAGAAGTGATAATGTTAAATTCTTAACCTAGTTTATTATAGGCAGTATACTTCTCTTCAAGAAGAGAGACAGGCATTACTTTTTATAAGTTGTGTGTTATTCAATATAACCCTTTGTTATTGTACTGAGAAGGACGAGTTCCCCCATGCTAAGGTACGTGTTATCAATATATTATGTCAATTGCCTATTGTACATGTACTTAGTAAAAACAGGTGAGAAAACAACCCATACCCTTATAATACTGTACTTTCAGGTTGGATGTAATGTTGTTTACAACTGTGGTGACAATTCCGAGTGCTCATATGATCGAGATGCTCAGGGTTACCGATGTCAGTGTAGCGAGGTTAGTAAAATGAAAGTTTAATAACTTGGTTTGTATAGGGTTAATAGTGTATTCTGTTACACATTATAAAAGAAAATTAGTCATCTTTATTTCTGTATATCACTTTTCTGGTAAAAATATTGTTGCAAGCAAGTCATGCTCATGCCATTTGAATAATAAGAATGATACAAAATATTTAAACAGTATGCATAATTGAACATTATTTCAACTTTTATTTTATGTAATATTTAGTAGTGTGATATCCATACTTTGTTTAAAATCCTATGTACTTATCCATAGGGCTTCGAAGGTGATGGATTCTTCTGTCAGTCATCAAGATCGTGTCATTCAGATAGTTCAGTGTGTCATCCTCAAGCTGTTTGTCTGCCTGATCCTGCCTCTACATTTGGTTACTCGTGTATCTGTCGTGACGGTTTTACAGGTGATGGATATAACTGTCAAGGTAAGCCTGGCTGTCCAGAATAGAGATGCAAACTGTGAGACAAGGTAAATTTGTCATAACATTTGATATGGGCATCATAAACAAATGATTATAATCTTATGAATATGGTATTTAGAAATATCACATACAGTACTTCTTTCCTTTAGATTGTTTGTTAATAGTCAGTGAACACAACATATAATTTAAATGAATACTTCTTATCAACACACTAATTACTAAAAGACATGAAATTAATCCCAGCCATAATGATCAGGAGGCCTTGGTACCCTGTAAGGTCACTCAGTAGCTGTAAAGCCATACTGGAGAGTACAAACTCACAAAACCCATCCTAACTTTCTTATTTAGAGTATAGGTACGTTACTTTCAACTAGGGTTTGTAAAACCAGTATGCAATTATAAACACTTCAAATACAAGAATGACCATATGGGATTGGTACCATACTTTTGCATTGGTGGGACTCAAGAATCAGAGTGTATGCATTACAATCAGAGTGCATGCATTACATTTATTTAACCACAGGATAAGGGATAACACACACAAGGAAAAATCTCACTTGCCAGATTAATTAACGAATACAGTTCTCGACACTCAGATATAAATAGAGGTCAATAACCTCACACAGTGAGGTGAGTACCTCACGAGCACACACTACACAACCTGTGTGTGTGGAGTTTCAGCCCACTCTTCCTGGTGGAGTGCAGGAATGCTCCTTTCACAAAAAATGCTCAGGATAACTTTTACACACAGAATCATACTCATTTACTAATACATACTCTCAAACACAACTGAAACACAAATAAAACAAACTGGTATTTTAAATAAGAAAAACATTTACATTAACAACCACAAAAGTTAAACTTTATATACCAGTCATGACATACCTCCCTATCTCCCATTAAATGAAAATCTTGTTTAGGGTACCAAGGGACAGTATTTTTGTTCAATTTTACATATAACTGCACATAAAGTTATACAATCTGCATTTTACCAACCTTATACATGGTCTCCTATTTTGCATTTCTTATCCAGAGGCAGCAGATCATGAGAAAAACATTTTGCTTCTTAACCAAGGATTATCTGTCCTTCGAATGCCTAGTGATATACGTTCTGGAATTGGCTTCCCTATCCATGTTGATCCCTTCATGACAGCTGTGGGTGAGTATAATACTGTACAGTATTAAGGAAAGCTGTTGATCTCTTTCTTCCATAGTACATTGATTACATTGTCTTACAGTTGTAGCCTGTCATTTAGAAATGGTTCAGAATGAAGTGTAAGAAGCTAATACATTCACATCTGTTGTGGCTACAGTATACACATTTAAGATAGGTAATGATTGCAAGACAAATGCATATCATAATAAGAGCTGAAAATTTAAATTGACTGCTTCTACTCTAAGGCTTTAGGCCCTAGAGTAGAAACAGAACTATTATAAAATACAAAAGGAAATAAGTATAAGAATAAATGATAAACAAAAGTTATTATTAGTTCAAAAAGAACATACTGTACACGTTCAAATAATTCCCATTTCTAGTTAATACTTACTGTCTTAACCCCTTAACTGCGTTGCCTCCAAATGTGACACCCCCGCAGTGCGCAGGAAATAAATTCTCTGGAAAAAATTCTTTTTTCTTTTTAAAGTGTCAAAAACCCTTCCCTCAGTATGGGTATGTAAAAAAAAAAGTCGAAATTGTACTTACTTTGGCTGCTATGGGGTCCGGAAGTTGGGGCGTGACATCATCATTCCCCGTGCGCCCGTGCCGTAAGCTCTCGGGGGCGGTGGGGCTCTCGGGGGCGGTGGGGCTCTCGGGGGCGGTGGGGCGCTCGGGGCAGGGCGCGCGAGTTGCCGCAAATATATTTTCGTTCATTTTTTGCGCACCTTTCCAAATACATTTTCATTGTTTTTATGTGCCAATCCAATGTATAATGAACACATACACTATAATATCGCAGTACAACATCCGTACTGTTCGTAGACACTGTGTTACGTGCATGAAACTTGTGTACACATATGCAGCACATGTTTACTATGTATCATGCTAATTTGTGTATATATACAATCTATTTACACACTATACACTGTCACACACTATACACATTCACCATCAACACATTCAGAACACCGCGTAGCAGCTGCTTCGTATGGGCCAACAGGAGCTGCCTCGTATGGGCCAATAGCAGCTGCTTCGTATGGGCCAATAGCAGCTGCCCCGTATGGGCCAATAGCAGCTGCCCCGTATGGGCCAATAGCAGCTGCCCCGTATGGGCCAACAGCAGCTGCCTCATATGGGTCAATAGCAGCTGCCTCGTATGGGCCAATAGCAGCTGCCTCGTATGGGCCAATAGCAGCTGCCTCGTATGGGCCAATAGCGGCTGCCTCGTATGGGCCAATAGCAGCTGCCTCGTATGGGCCAATAGCAGCTGCCTCATATGGGCCAATAGCAGCTGCCTCGTATGGGCCAATAGCAGCTGCCTCGTATGGGCCAATAGGAGCATTTGGCCATGAACACATTCAGAACACCTCGAGTGAGAGCAGCCACACCCAGCCTGTCTCCCTCACTCCAACATCTTACTCGCCAACATTGCTCCTCCCACCATATTGTTATAGTTCTTATTACACATGTTCTATATACCTATCTACGTTTTATTTACCAGAACTATGCAAGTAAGCTGGTATTGTGTCCAAACAGTACAGTGGCCACCATACACTGCATGAAAAATCACACAGCAGACGACACTACGTTTACGTCACCTCCCTCACCAAAATAGCTCCTCTCAACATTCTCCTGTTGCTGTTCTTACACTATATACACACACACTATATATACCCATGTACATATGTGTTGCCCATAGCGAACCACTAAGCTAGTATGGTGAGCAAAACAAGAGTGGCAGCCACACACACAATGAGGCTACCTCAATTCTCGCCCTCCCTCCCTCATCAAAATTCCTCCTTCCACAATACTACGCACAACGCTAATTATAACCACATTCCTGCTATTATCACAATCCTGGTCACTAATTCCTGTAAATGAATAATTGACCACACGTTTATTTTGAAAAGGAACCTAAGAAATCATTTGAAGATTCCTAGATGAACGAAATAATGCTGTGGTGCTGTGGATAGCGCTGTGAACATCGTGAACAGCATTGAATCACTGATATTTGAACATTGTACCCAGTCATTATCACACTCAGGCTCTAATATAACACTATCATAGCTAAATAATACAAGTTATATATATATTTTGACATTATTAGGCGATGCTGTGGTCACATGCTGAACAGCAGTGCTGTGCGCTCATGCTGCAAGCGCCAGCCTTGGTTGCTCACACACTACTGAGGCTCCCACACCCGGGAATGTGGACCACGATTTTTTTTAAAGATGGAGTCTGTTTACAAGAGCCCTGAGGAAGCTGATGTGAACCCCATGTAGCCGCGGGAGTTTTGAATGGAACGTGAAAAATACAAATACCCGGAGGCGTGTTGCGCAAACCAGACGTGAGCCTGCAGGCGCATTGTGCAGTTTAAGGGTTAAATAAGATTCATCTAAAATTTATTACTCTTAATATTTGTTATAATAATATAATAGAATGGTTATTGTATGTGAACAAATCCACAAGGGCCGTGACGAAGATTCGAACCTGCGTCCGGGAGCATCCCAGACACTGCCTTAATCGACTGAGCTACGACAGGGTTAAAAGGGTTGAAACCGAAGTTTTAGTGTCTGGGATGCTCCCAGACGCAGGTTCGAATCCTCGTCACGGCCCTTGTGGATTTGTTCATTTGATGCATCACGTTAGTGTGATCTCTGTGTGTGGTTATTGTATGTTTTTGGAAATAGAGGTGAGTTTTATATGAAGTGTATTTATGTACAGTATACAGTCCAAGACCAATATTGTATAAATAATTTTATTAAAATTAGTTAATGGATAAAAAAAAAGTGTACAGTAAAACAATTACTGGTAATTAATATTGTTTCTAGGAGCTGATGTTGACTGTCTGTCAGGCCGTTACTATTGGACAGATGTCAGATCGTCATCCATTCGATCCTCCAAATATGATGGCACAGAACGGAAACCCATAGTGGCAGGAGGTAGAGTTTAATCTGCTCTTTATAGGGCTTATATCATTCCATTAATTCATAAAAACATTTAACACTTGTACAGATTGATGACTGTATTTCTAGTTGCTAAATTGAGAAAGAATTTGTAAATAAAAATTTCAATGTTTTATGCAACTTAAATTATAATTTTTATATGTTAAAGGTTACAAATGAGAGCCAAACATTACCTATGACTAAAACAACTATATCCTATTACACAACTGTTTAAATATCTACTAACATGCATTTCTTCAGATGGAATTGGTTCTCCTGAAGATGTTGCTGTTGATTGGGTGTCAGGAAATGTCTACTGGACAGATTCAGTGAATGATGCTATATCTGTGGCATCTATTGAAGATGGAAAACATCGTGTGATTATCAAAGATGGCCTCGTCAATCCTCGTGGTATTGCTGTGCATCCAGGCTTTGGGTAAGTCAAGATGAAAATCCTTGGAAATAGTATGACAGTAATTTTGTATGATATTGGTGATACCGTATATTCAAATGTTAGCTTGCAACAAATAGATTTCAATTTTCAATGAGCTGATAATATCATTTAGATTTTAAGATAGAAAATACAATATTGGTTTTAGCACAGACCTGCAGAACAGACCCCCATGTATCCACGGGACTTTTAGATATTACTCAATACCAGTACTTTAAAACATCCCCAAGTGTTTCACACAAGTTACAGATAATTAGCAAGATCAACCCAGGCATGTTGTGCAGTGGAAAGGTATTCTATGTATATAGAAGCTTTAAAATTTAAGGGGCACAGTTGGTTAATTTGCTGCAGGCTTAGTAACCTAACCAAATGAATTGACACAAATCTTCTGTACAGTATTTTGATTCTGTTTTAAGAATAATGATTCCATTATATTTATTTGCATTTTAATGGTTAAGCACACTTGCAGCCTCCTATTTTGGAGTGATTGGAATCGCCGTGGCCCAAAGATTGAGGTGTCTGGACTAGATGGGTCAAATCGCAGAGTACTCGTTGATCAAGATATTGAACTGCCAAACTCCCTGGTAGTGGAGTATGATGCTGGGACGCTCTGCTGGGCTGATGCTGGGACACACAAAATTGGTTTGTGAAATATTATTAGTATAGTATTCATTTATAAATAGGCATTCATGCATTTTTACTGCTTGTAAAGCAATTGCACTAAATGACACCAAATGTATCAAAATATGGTGGCAAACATTAAAGAATATGAGGCAGATTGGAGAATGCATGATAGAAATGACAGGAAATCAGATAAAAATGATAAAATATTAATTTTATTAAAGCTTGCATTAGGGGTAGGGAACCAATAGCATGCTTGTCAAACATAATGCACGTAACTATTTTGTTGGCATGCATACACAGTTATTGGTCGCCAAAACAAAGTTCTTTAGGAATGTTTTCAAGCATTTCTTTTCTCCACTGGTGCATGAGAACTTCTTAGAGATTTATCGCCAATTTAATCTCACTTTCTCATAAAGGTTTCCCACCCGTCTTATATCATATACTGTATTGCAAAATAAGAACTGTATCAGTGCTTTGTAGGTATTATATACTGTGAAGGTTTATGATGGCTAATGCTGTCATGATGAGAGTACTGAACTGAAGTAGAATACAATCTCTCCCCCAAATATGAGTGGGTTACATTCTAAAAAGACGTTCATAAAGTATTTGTTCTGAACATGGAACAAGGTTTCCCATAGACGCAATGTTATAAATGGGGGATATATTCCTGGACCACTAAAAATGAGCACAAAACCAATATTTTTGGGGCACATAAGTCATGTGTGTGACACAACTTGATAATGGTCCAGGACGGACTGAAACGTCGTCGTTTCTCCATCTTCTGACGTGTGGTTTGGTCATCATCCTCAGACCAGTACTGCCTTCAAGAGGCTACTCCTATCTTCTCGCATACACACTTCTCACATACTCACCTCTAATTAGGTGAGTACATCAACCAATTCTTCAGGTGGCATAAGGCACTCCCTCATGCTGATTTCACAGTCAAGTCAGTGCCCCGTCCTTTTCTCTCCACCTGGGTTGGCTGGTTTGGCATACACTGCAGTGTTGTTACAGACTAAAAATGTTAGTTCAAGTCTCACCTGTGGAAGGATCTGCTAGTGCTAAGGAACTACCATCTAGAGTTCAATGGAATGTTAAACAATTCTAGCTGAAGGCTTCCCTCTGGGTGGCATTCAGCTGGTCTAGTCACATCAGAGGTAGGTTGTCACACCAGCTTGACAACCTACCTCTGGTCCTCTTTGATATCCGTTCTGTGATGAAGGAAGAAAACAGCTTTTCAGCAGCAGTTGTAGCATATGGATGCAGTCTGTGGCTTCCAGGTAAACTCTGATGCTGCTGGCTGTGTCATCAGACCCTACCACTTTTGTGCAGCAATTTCAAGCAACTATGGTAGGAGTCTGGGTGATGCAACCATGGTAGGAATCTGGCTGATGCCACCATGATGCCCAACAACACATCCTACATATGTACCTCATGATATACACAATCCACTTACTGTTTTCTGGATTGGTGCTGTCTGTTCAAAATCAAATCAAATCAAATGTTTATTTAGGTAAGGTACATACATACAAGAGATTTTACAAAGAGTGATGGATTTATAGATATAGCTAGTACATACAATGCCTAAAGCCACTATTCGCAAAGCGTTTCGGGCATGAAAAACTTAAATGACTAAAGCTTAATACTAATTGAGCATAAAGAATAAAATGAAAACATTGAATGAAAACATAGCTGAAAAAGCAGCACAAATACAATTCTGTCGACAAACAGCGCTCTTTAAAAAAACAGACATTGGTTAACAATAGAGGGATAAGGTAGGTTACAGGGAATTTATTAGGCATAGCTTCGTTTTTATCTTAAACTGGTTGAGAGAGGTACAGTCTTTAACATGGTTGGGAAGGTCATTCCACATTCTGGGTCCCTTGATTTGTAGAGCATTTCTAGTTTGATTAAGTCGTACTCTAGGAATATCAAAACTGTATTTATTTCTGGTGTGGTGCTCATGGGTTCTGTTACAACCTTCTATGAAGCTTTTGAGGTCAGGATTGGCATTACAGTTTAGCGTTTTATATATTGTGACGATAATCTCCTTCAAGAGATTGAGCCTGCTCTTCCCTCCAAAATTACGTCTTCACAATTATATAAAAAGACTATGGAAGAAATGTCCAACAACGACAACAACACCAGCACCAGCAAGGCTTGCCAGGGTGAGCAGAAACGTATGCAACCAGCCACCTGTTCGAACTCCAACCACCAAACTACCCGTTGATCGCTACGGCTCCGCTGATTGGTCGCCGGTCTGGCTGCACCTGCACTCGCCCCCAATACTACCTGATGTCTGGGGTCGCCCCAACATCAGTCCTCAGAATGTTCCGTGCTTTCGTAGCCAGCACTCCTCCCAGCTAGACGTTAGCGTGTACTGAGAGAGGTGGTGGCTTTAAGCCAATATTCCAGCACCTCCCACTTACCTTTGTGTTGCACTTCTTATTTTGCCTTAACGTAACTTTCATTGTGTCATTTAAGTATTCTTATTATTTTGATTCATTGATTTTATTATACATATTTGTTTGTGCATTATTTTCATGTTTTGATTTATTTAACGTAATTAAAATTTCATTGTTAAAGTTTACTTGTGTTTTGTGTGTCTTCTCCTTACCTTACCACAGACGAAGTTCCAGTTTTTCTATTTTTTTTTATAACTATGTGACGAGGCCATACCCCTAGCCTTAAACAGCCGAACACCAACGCGTTACCGTCACAAGTTTTATGGGGGCCTGTCCTAGGAGCTTCACTCAGGTACTGGTGCCAAGTGGTAATTTATGGTAAGCGTATTTAACTCTGTTAACGTAGCTTTACTATTTTTCATTCAATTTCATTTTTTATAAGGTGCGGTGTATTGTGCATTACGAGAGTAACATATAGTGAAGGTGAGACAACTTTGGATTACGTGGTGACTGTAGGCCGCAGTCATACTCTTAATTGGTCATCTCTCCCTCCTTGTTATTACTCGTGTTTACCATCTATGTCCCTTGAATATTTCTCATTCTGACAGATCATCATATTGGTACCCTGGTACTGTGGTCTGCCCCGGGTCAAGAGTACCCAATCTTCTGCAATCTGACTGTAGGAGGACAAAGAGGGCCATAGTTCCTCTAGCTCGAACTTTAGTTGCTGAATTGGGACCTCAGCAGCAGTTCTCGTCACCAGTTGACACCTCGCACCCCTACACGTCAGTCAGAGATGATGATACATACAACGGTAGGGAATTAGCTTATTTTTTCAGAGCACAAAAGTTCGCTAATTCTGTAAGTATCATATTAAATTCAGTGGGAAAAACTTGCTTTATGTCCTATAGAGACTTGGCAAGGTATGCCTACATCCTTGGACTACCAATTTTACTTTTGAAGCATTTAACTGTTTCATTTGTTTTCGAAACTTTGTTTCATTTGTTAGTAGGATTTTCTTGCCCTTATTCTCTTACATGAGTACCGGGTACAAGATTTCCTGCGCCCTTGATTTAATTTAATCATTTAATATCTTTCACTTAACGTTAATTGTTAAAGATCACACAGGATAGGTACCAGTTGCCACGTTGTCCTGTTTCTGACATTTCATTATTGAACATTCGTGTACCTTTATTTGCTAATTTCACCATGTTTCGTCTCCAAACTTTCCGTGCAAATCCAGCAGGTGAAATAGGGACTTTAAGTCGTGCCAAGAGGACTGAACTACAAACTCTTGCACATGAGTATCAACTAGAAGTTCCCTACCAAGCCAACAAAAATGACCTACACAACCTGTTGCTGGATTACTATTTAGAGCAAGGTAAGATAGACTCTGACACTCATGAAACTTACTATATTGCAGATAAAACTGATTTGGCAACGCTGAAACTCAAACTAGAGCTGGCCAAGATTGAACGTGAGCAGCAAAGGGAAGCCCTCGAACAACAAGAACGAGCTGCTGCCATACGAAGAGAAGAACAAGAACGCGAGGCTGCCTTGAGGAGAGAAGAACACGAACGTGGACTCGCCCTCCACGAACGTGAGGTCGCCTTGCTCCATGAACGTGAGAGAGTACAGCTTGAAACAAAACAACGCGAGTTGGAAATACAACGCGAACATGACAAGCAACAAGCAACTCTAGCTCTAGAGTGTCGTCAACGTGAAATCGCCTTGGAAACTTCCCACTTCACTCAACGCCAGCAAGCTACTGCCAATCTTCCCGTCAGTTTTAATATATCACATGCAAGTAAGTTAATGCCATCCTTTGTAGAAGCAGAAGTTGATGTTTTTTTCACCACCTTTGAAACCCTTGCTAATCAACTCAGTTGGCCTGTCAACCAATGGGCCACACTTCTCAGAGTCCATCTTACAGGTAGAGCTGCAGTCACACTCAGTACTTTGGCGTCTGAGAATGACTACTACACTCTGAAACAAGCAGTGTTGGACGCCTACCTCCTCTCTACTGAAAGTTATAGAAGGAAATTCCGTGACCACCTGAAGGCAAGTGCCACTACCTTCCTCGAGTTTGCTAACACGAAACGGAGGTATTTCATGAAATGGCTGGAAGCAGCACATGTCTCTACTTTTACAGAACTCGTGAACCTGATGCTTGTTGAAGAATTCTTGAGACGTGTGCCACCTCCTGTCCGCCTCTACTTAGCAGATAAAGAAGAAACCGACTACCTGAAGTGTGCTAAGTCGGCTGACACTTACAGCCTCATCCACCGGCTGACACCTGAACCATCCTCCAGTAAGAAGTCGTGGTACAGTTACGAGAAGGTGAGCCCCGATCAAGCTGGTTCACAACTGTACTGCAAATATTGTAGACTCTATGGACATACCATAGACAAGTGTGGTAAGTCTCAATACAAGGGAACCACTGACCAACAACGACCCAAACCAACTCCTCCTAAGTCCGGTAAGCCTGTGATGAATGTTGGTGTTGATGTTAATGATCTTTCTCTTTTCAGTAACCACCTGTATACTGGAACTGTCTCTGCCAACGGTTCAAATCCGGAGGGACGTTTCAAATTGAAGATCTTGAGGGACACA